GTCAAATAATATAAAATGTAAACAAACAGTAGCTTTACAACTCCCTCTACTGGGGACAAAATATCAAAATGTTTCCATAATTATATCAAACAAGACAGTAAAAAAAAAAAAAAAAAAGTGGCAGAAAGGCTAAGCAGTGGACACCACACCTCTCCAATGCACAATGCCGAGCTCAGTTGAGCTCTGTTATTCTGTCAGAGGAATGCCAACAGAAAAACCAAGAGGGACTCAAATCGGTATCGCCAGGTGCAAGTTTCTGTTTGCCATCTGCTACTTAAACCACCTACCTTTCTACTCAAGATCATTTTCTAGGTTTCAAATATATCATCACTAAATGAACCATTATCAGCAAGTATTATCTTTTTTTTTTTTAAAGTGATTTCAGAGAGAAAGAGAGGGAGAGAAAGAGAAACATCAATCGGCTGCCTCCTGCACACCTCCTCTTGGAGATAAGCTCCCAACGTGGGCATGTGCCCTGACCAGGAATTGAACCAGCAACCTCCTGGTGCACGGGATGATGCTCAACCACCTGAGCCACACCAGCCAGGTAGCAAGTATTATCCTGATAGCACAGATTCCTAAGTACTCTGCCCCAAACCTCCAGCTCCAAAATACATACATCATTTTACTATCAAGAACCAAGCAAGAATCACAGATACTCCCAGTGGCAGTGCAGAAGTACCTGTATACTCCAGCAAACTGAATATCCCAAAGGACCGTCTACCTGAAGCCGTGGCTTTACCAATAACTTTGAAGTTTATAACAACCATTCCTATCAGAGTAACAACTACATTTCTATATCTGACAATGAAACCCCAAAGTATAGCAACTTCGGGTGAAAAATACTTTGTAAAATCACAATGTCACATTATGAATGAGTTAATAAAAGAACTTTTCAATTGCTCTTCCCTGGGCCAGCTTTACAAGAAAAGTTGGCCTAATATACTTTGGATGAGGTCTACTTAGTAGCAAGAGTATCAGTTCTCCAAAGGCGCAACAAGAAAGTAATGTGCTCCAGTAAGTTGTAAGGAGTGAGTGATATGCATATTGACTGACAGATATCATGTCTCCAAGGTCATCACTCTCACTCACCTGCACCCTAACCTGTTCTGTTTACTGGACAGGAGATAGAGTTTCAGGTGAAACACTAGGTGAGGTTGTGGGTTATGCACGTCTCTGCTCTGCCTTGGCCCACAGTAGCCAAATGTTGACCAGTATTCCATTTAGAATTGTTAACAATTTAGAAATGATTCTAGTGCCTCACCTTTCTGCAAAATTCTTGGAGCTTTTTAAAAAACAATATAGGCCCTGGCCGGTTTGGCACAGCGGTTAGAGCGTTGGCCTACGGTCCTGAGAGACCGGGGTTCGGTTCCCGCTAAGGGCGTGTACCTCGGTTGCAGTTTGTCCCTGGCCCTGGTCGGTTGTGCGGGTGGCAGCCACTCAATGTGTTCCTTTCACATCGATGTTTTTCTCTCTCTCTCTGTTCCTCTCTCTCCCTCCCACTCTACCTGAACAAAAAAATGGGAAAATGTCCTCGGGTGAGGGAAAAAAAAACAATATAGGTCTGTTTATGGTGGGCTGTGGCTTGAGATTCCACTGGTCTAAATGTTCTCTGAGCATTAAATCACTTTACTAAATCCTTTGTTTTTCTGAGGATTACATGCATGTTCTCCATTTGTCTTCAAAGCAAACAATGGAGGCAATAGAAATAGAAAATGCAAGATGATAACGAGAGCGCTGCTAATTAGGATGGCATGGAGGTTGGAATTTGACTCTGGCTTATTGACTGACTTATGGGACAGTGTAGACAAAATCCTCACTGACTCCAAAGCACCAAAATTAAAACTCAGCTTGGTAAAGGATGTTGTATTAGCAACTGACCATTCATACCAGAAGGTCAAAACCAGGATTATTCTGCCATTTACAAGAGAGGATCTCAAAATCCTTAGCAAGGTAGACCGAGTCCGATATGGCCTGCTTGGCCAGCCCTGCGGCACATCCTCGGGGATGCAGGCTATCCTCCTGCGTAAGGGAACTGAGGAGGAAGCGGCTCACCAAGTGGAGAAAGCGTGTGCGGCTGCCCACCGCTAACTCATAACCCAGCCGGCAATCCCAAAGCTGCCAACCAGGCAGGCCAGAAAAGACCACTCTTTTCGCTAACCTCTTAAAGCTATGAACTAGCTGTTCTGCTGTCCTAAGGTCAGGGAGTGAGGAGGTTTGAAAGGGCTTTTGGATATGCAAACAAACTTAGGTCTGATCAACCAATCTATTGTTTTAATTTACAGTGACCAAATATACATACAGCTGGATTTTTATTAATAAGTCTGAATTTTGTTGCTGAAAATCTAAAATTCTCCTGACTCTACTCTTATTTCTTACCTTGCAGCAATTTTTTTTCATTAACACAAAACACTTTTTATTAACACGAAGCAGTATCATCATTTTAGAGTCAAGTTATCGATGTTCTTGTCTTCCCTCTGCTAGAAACACTCATTCTTAGATACTTCACCTCTTAAGAACTTCTTTGCCTCTGGAAATTCCCTACCCCAGCATATAGTCTATCAAGAAGTGGTCCCAATGGCTATTTTATATATTATCTTATAATTACTAACTGCTTCCTTAACTAATATCCCTTTAACTTTCACCACGCTTGGCAGTAAATTCTCTCCAATACCCTACCCATCTCTCTAATATCTTTTCCAATGAAAAATCACCTGTCAGACTTTTTTATTCTTCTTTAAAGTCAATTCGAGTAATTATTTAAACTGATCCTCTCAAGAATCCCCAGTAGCTAAATTCCAGCAAACTATCCAAAGCCAGCAGGGTCATGAAAACCTCCTGCTGTGAGTTCACAAGGCAACAGACAATCCTTAGCCCCACCTTGGCACAAGTGTTGTGAGGACTGTCAAAATCCAAAATCCCTGGCCAGGGTCACAATCCCATTCCCTCAGAGACCTGGCAGAGAATTTATAAGAGCGAAGCTGGCGGGTCCAAGAGCTAAGGCGGTGCCTGTGTGAGAGGTGGGGACTGTGGCCAGCCGGGAACACACGGCCACTGTTCACCTGAGGCCCACCTGTCACACTGCCGCAGACACAGGTGCATGTGGCCAGGGCTCTGGTCATCTCAAGACAAACCAGAAAATCTGACTTGTTATAGGAAAATTTCCAATCTTTAAAAATAGATTTAATGTTTTAAAAACACTGTGCAACCAAACAATATACATCTATGGACAAAATTCACTGAGCTGCCAGTTGTCTCTGCCCTGACTCTACCGCCAGCCACATGGGCAACTGGCCCTCTTCCTTGCTTCTGGTTAATACTAATGGGCCACGGTGACTATTAAAAAGGGTTATTTTACATAGTAGAAAATGGGTCACATCAAGCATAGACTCAATCCAAAAGAAGCCTGTTATCAAGTCAATCAAGAAATTTGACTCAAACTAAACACAATCCTAACAAGTAAACTGACTTGTACCAACTGCTACCATTACTGTTGCCACCATTTACTTCACAGTTACTATGTGCCAAGAATTATATTACACACTATACATATAATATCTCCTCCACATACTCCTTTTTTCCGTTAGTCTACTCACCACACAGAGATTTTTAAAAAATCATTCAGCCCTGGCCAATGTGGCTCAATGGTTAGAGTGTTGGCCCGAGCACCAGAGGGTTGTGCATTGGATTCTCAGTCAAGGGTACATACTTGGGTTGTAGGTTCAATCGCTGGCCCAAGTTGGGGTGTGTGTGGAAGGCAACCAATTGATGTGTCTCCCTCACACTGATGTCTCTTTCTCTCCCTCTCTCCCTCCCTTCCACTCTGTCTAAAAAAAAAAGACCTGGCTGGTTTGACTCAGCGGTTAGAGCGTCGGCCTGCGGTCCAGAGAGACCTGAGTTCAGTTCCCGCTAAGGGCATGTACCTCGGTTGCAGTTTGTCCCCGGCCCTGGTTGGGTCATGTGGATGGCAACCAGTTGATGTGTCTCTCTCACATCGATGTTTCTTTCTCTTCCTCTCTCTCCCTCCCACTCTATCTGAACAAAAAGTGGAAAAATGTCCTCGGGCGAGGATAAAAAAAAAAAAAAAATCAGTGAAAAAAATATTGAGTGAGGATTAACAAAAATAATAACAATAAAAATAATAAGAATATTCTTGAGTGGAGGATTAACAAAAATAATAATAATATTCTTGAGTGAGGATTAACAATAATAATAATAATAATAATATCATTCAAAAATATGACCTGAGTTCCTTGCTTAAAATTCTCCGCTGGCTTCCCAATGCTCCTAGAATAAACTACAGATATCTCACCACGACACGCCGAGGTCTGGCCCCAAGCCACCTCTTTGCCCTATCTCCACGCTCAGCCCTGGTTCACACGATACCAACACCACAGCCTCTGGCTGTTCCGCACACACACAGGGTCTGTTCCTGAATTCTGGACTTTATTTTCATTGGTGTCTTGGCCTAGAATATTCCTCAGGCTTCTGCAAGGCTGCTCCTTCTCATGAGTCAAGTCTCAGCTCAAACATCTCCTCCTTCAAGAGACCTTCCCTCACCAGTTCCCTCCCACTTGCTTTAATATAGCCCTATTTTGTTCCCTGTCATTTATCAGTGCTAAATTATCACTCACTCCAATGACTTTATTCATGTGCTTACTTGTCTGTGGTCTGCCCCCGCCAAGATGCAAGCTAAGAACCTGTCACCCCTAGTCAAGATGATGTTCCAGTCACTAGGTTCTGGGCCTCTACCCCCAAAGCCGGCCACCACCTCCTACATAAAATATGGTAGAGAATCTAGCCATTCTAGTAGCATCATTCAGGGCTGTGTTTTATTCTCGTCTCAAAACAGGAAGCATTCCACTCATCTACCTTTTTGAAGTCCAAGTATTAATCAGGTTGGAGAGGTTAAAAAAAAAAAAAAGAAGTATAAATTCCTGATTTTGATCAGGGAATAAAGTTGTTTCGGATTGGGGCTAGTCCTTTCCCGGGCAGCTCACCTCTTTCTCCCTTGCGAAGTCCTCCTTGTCGTACTCTTCATCTTCACTCTGTGTGGGCAGTGCCACGCTGCCGAAGTCCAGCGACATGGTCCTCCTGCAGGACGAGAAAGACACCTCGTTTCTACGGCCCCCAAACTCTCGCCAGACCCCACGAGACGTGAGAGGCCACACACAGCGAGACAAACAGCAGCCAGGAAGAAAGCATACGCCACTCACGCGTGATAGATGGTTAGTATTCCAAACGTAAAGAGAGTTCCCACAAATCAATTGCGACTCACAGAATAGAGCTACATGACAGCAATTCATAGGGGGAAAAATGCAAAAAGCTAATAAACTGATAACTAGACCTTTCCAGCCTTCTGGAAAATATAAACTTAAAACAGTGAGCCTTTTGTCCACACACACACACAGATAATAAACTAGAAGTGTCCCAAAACATAAAAATGTTAAGAACACGCTCAAAGTTTCTGATTTCATGTGTTCAGTAGGGCACAGGTGGTATCCTCCACAACTGGCTTCATCCTTTGCACATCACAAATCTAAACTTCACGTATGACAAAAAGTGAGCTGTTAAATCCTGAGTTAATGATTGGAACCCAAAAACCATTTTCAATCTGGTGGACTCCACACAGCACACAACATAAGTGGTCAGTGTCCTGCTCTTACGCTTGATAACATCAGGATCCAGGAAAAAAATATACTCAAGAAAAACAGAAGCGAGGGTTCTGAAGTGGTCCCACGTGGAGCTCCAACGCCCAGCGCCAGGCGGGACTTCCCTGGAGAACGGTAACTGCTGTGGCAGAAGCAGCAGCAGGAAATGGGTTTTCAAGTACTTACAATCAAAGGGCTGCTGATTATTTGAATTATACTCAGGGATCCTGACACGACACAGAAACTACCCAGCGTTTCAAAGCTCTGAACAATCCTGACAGAAAAGTAGGCAGGCGTCATCAATCAGCCCGCGACCGCCCTCCCCTCGGTCCCTTCTGCGTGCCAGTGAAATGCACTTTGATGTGAGCCTGAACCACACCTCGTTCGCTCTGCTTTTCAGGCTCTAAACTGTCATTAAACTAGAAGTGAAAAAGCATTTTGCCATAAAGAACTCAACTCCTTCATCTGAACAGTTGAAAACCGGGATCACAAACTTTTCTGCAGGCCAATAGCTCTCCAGAAAAGGAGATTCCATTTCATCAGATCTAAGGCGCCCCGGACTGCATGACACAGCTCTGCTTGTACCACCGAGGAAAAGATGTGGCCAATTAAATTATGACACATCATTAATTTTTAAATGCAGCCTGACTTTGTAGATGTTAAACTGTGAAAAGAAAATGTGCTCTTTAATGTGCTCTTTAGAGTAGGTGAAATATGGTGTTACAGATCAACACAAATAGCACTTTCAATGCTGAAATCCCCATTGGTCGAGTTTTTGTTTTTCAAGGGCTGAATTATATTTCTTGGCCAAACTCTAATTTGCGGTACACCTCTTTTATCCCTCCCACCCTGATCCCTACACCCTGAACAGCTCTTTCACCTCGATGAACTCAAACTCCTTGCATCAACTGTAAACCCTTGAACCTCTGCTTAGACCAGACCTGCTCCTTGCTGTTCCTGTGCCAGGCTAAAGGAGGAAGGGACATGTGCTCTCTCTCCCGGAGATGGGAAATATACAGAAGTTTGGGGAGTCTAACGCTTGTCTGCACCCAGCAGCTACAAGAACCCTCTTGTGTACCAGCATAAGATGGAGATCGGAATATGAAAGAGTCGATAATATAACTGAAACGGTGAAGAAAAAACCCACAAGCTCATGTCCATGGGGTTTTTCACTACTGCAAGTGAACATCAAGTCTACAGAATCCATAGATGATGAAAATACTAGTCCAATCAAATCCTGGCTCTTTCAAAGATATGAGATTAAGCTAGACCTTAAAGACATCCCTAAAGTCTCCAGGTATAAGTAATTTTTCCTGCTCTTGATTCTTATTCATCCTCTTCCTGAATTTTATAATTAAAGCCAGAAGACAGGAATTGGGTTTCTCCTTTATTACATAAAATAAGGGAAGGTGTTCTTCCTTTTAATCTTTCACTAACATGCCACTAATGTGTTGAATACTGAAAAGAACATTAAGATTTACATGAGCCTACTTTTTCTCAGACAGAGAATAATGAATTCTACAAAGTATTTTCATTTAAAATTTTTTTTTTTATTATTTATTGAATTTAGAGAGAGAAAATGGGGAAGAGAAGGAAAGAGAAAGAAGAACATCGATTTGTCGTTCCACCCATTTATGCATTCATTGGTTGCATTTTGTATGTGTCCTGACTGGGAATAAAAACCCAAAACCTTGGCATATTGGGACGATGCTCTAACCAACTGAGCTACCCAGCCAGGGCTGATATTTTCGTTGTTGTTGTTGTTGTTTTAATCCTCACCCAAGGATATTTTTCCATTGATTTTTTTTTTTTTTTATCCTCACCTGAGGACATTTTTCCATTTTTTGTACAGATAGAGTGAGAGGGAGAGAGAGGAAGGGAGAGAGAGAGAGAAACATCGATGTGAAGGGACACATCGAGTGGCTGCCACCCGCACGACCAACCAGGGCCGGGGACAAACTGCAACCGAAGTACGTGCCCTTAGCGGGAACCGAACCCAGGTCTCTGCGGACCGCAGGCCGACGCTCTAACCGCTGAGCCAAACTGGCCAGGGCTCCATTGATTTTTTTCAGATAAAGTGGGAGGAAGGGAAGGAAAGGGAGAGAGAGAGAGATCAATGTGAGAGACACACATTGATTGGTGCCTCCCACATGACCCTGACCAGGGACCGAACCCCAACCGAGGTAAAGTGCCCTTGACCAGGAATCGAACCAGTGACTCTTGGATCCTCGGACCAATGCTTTAATGCTGAGTCAAACCAGCCAGGGCCTGATATTTTCATTTTTAAGTGACGTGAATGTAAAAGAGCAAAGCATATTCCCCCCCTCCCCCAATTAGCAATAATTGCACCTCGGATAAACCTCATTGGCTATGATACTGCCACTGTGCAAAGCTAACCAAAGTATATCTTTTTGAATGACATTTTAAATTCAAACTATGTTATTAAAGAAGAAATAAGAGCCCTGTCTGGTTTGGCTCAGCAGTTAGAGCATTGGCCCGCGGACCAATGAGTCACAGGTTCAGTTCCGGGCAAGGGCAGGTACCTTGGTTGTGATTGATCCCCGGCCCTGGTTGGGGTCATGTGGGAGGCAGCCACTCAATGTGTCTCTTTCACGTCAATGTTTCTCTCTCTCTTCCTCTCCCTCCCACTCTATCTGAACAAAAAATGGGAAAACGGCCTGGCTGGTGTGGCTCATTGCTTGAACATCGACTCATGCACCAGGAGGTCGCCAGTTCGATTCCAGGTCAGGGCACATGCCCAGGTTGTGGGCCCAATCCCCAGTGGGGGGCATGCAGGAGGCAGCCAGTCGATATTCTATCTCATTGATGTTTCTGTCTCTCTCTTCCTCTCCCTTCCTCTCTCTGAAAATCAATAAAGAAAAAAAAATGAGAAAATATCTAAAAAGGCCAAAATCTCTCTCCATTGCAGAGAGAAGATACAAACAAGTTTTCCTTCTGAAAAGTGCAAACTACCAGAGACCTTAAGAAACTATTTTAGGCATAAAGGGGAATTTGATAAACTTACTGTGGTTAAGGAAAAACATACAAAGATAATTGGTATTTTAATGAAAATTTAAAACAAAGGCTAATGTTTTTCTTTAACTTATTAATTACTAGTAATTACCACTGCTAGCAGAGACTTTACAATAATAGTCAGAACAATAAGAAATTGCTTTAAAAAAAAAAAAATAGCAAGACAGTAAACCCAGATGCCATAAAGGAAAAACTTGACAAATATTAACCGCACAAAAAAATTTGTATATGGCAAAGGACATTATAAAAACTTAATAATTATGTATGGAAAAATAGATCACTAACAAAATCAAAAGCTAAAATAGTACTAATAATGAGAAAAATATTTGCAAAACACATGACAAAAATCCAATGTACAATTCTCACAAAGAAATGAGAAAAAGCTGAGCAAGTGTGGCTCAGTGGTTGAATGTTGACCCATGCACCAAGAGGTTACAGGTTCAATTCGCAGGTTGTGGGCTAAATCCCCAGTGGGAGCATGCAGGAGGCAGCCAATTAATGTTCTATCTCTCTCTCTCTTCCTTCCTCTCTCTCTAAAATCAATGAAGAAAAAAAATTATTTTTTAAGTTTAAAAATAGGCAACTGACATGACAATTCATTTTTTAAAAAATGTAAATGCTCAATTAACTTGACAAGATGCTTATGCTCATGAAGAATTCAAAGTGCCATTTACACAATGAAATATGACTTTCAAGAAGTAAATTGAAAAAAAACTTGATAACATCTATGATAAATATTGGAAACAGACAGCCTCATGAACTGTGAGAAACATCTTGAAAAGTATTAATATTAATATATTGAAAAAGAACATTTGCCCTAGTAAATGTACTGTTGAATAAATTTGGCAGTACTATGCCACTAATAACAATGAAATATTTCTTTATTTATTGACTGATCATTAAAAAAGTCAAGATTTTAGGGGCCCATACCAAAAAAAAAAAAAAAGATAAAAAAGTCAAGATGCAGAATAAGTGTACAGTATGTTTTTTTATTTATTTTTTCAATCCTCACCCAAGTACATTGTTTTTCTATTTTAACTTCAGATAGAACAGGAGAAAGGGAGAGAGAGAGAGAAACATCAACGTGAGAGGTACACATCAACCGGTTGCCTCCTGCACAACCAGACCAGAGCCGGCCAAACAGCAACTGAGGTACATGCCCCAAACCAGAATCAAACCCGCAACTCATCGGTCCACAAGCCGATGCTCCAACTATTGAGCCAAACTGGCCAGGGCAACAGTATGTTTTTTTTAAAAGAGCATAGATAGATAACTTTTTTCCTAGATAGATAACTTTCCTGAACCTATTAACAAGACTATGTTCTGTCCTTTTGTTACACTCAGATCAGAAGGGCTCAGCCTCAGTACTCATTTTGTTTTCCCTGGTTATGTTGTCTTTACCCTGCCTGCAATGAGAAGGAAGACCAATGGGTGTTTAGTTGGACAAAATATTAAAACACAACCATACAGGGGATTCCAAAATGATGGCAGAGTGAATGGAAGTTACACAGACCATCTCCCAGGACCAAACTGGAATTACAACTAAAATAAAGACAAATCATCAGAAAAAAGCAACAGAACAGCAGCTGGAGAGGACCCATATAACCAGGGACAGGATAAAAGGACACTGAATCAAGCCTGGTATGTCTGCGGAGGCACAAGAGGGCAGGCTGGAAGCCCATGAACAGCAGCTGTTTTAGCTGTGAGCAGCTCCATAGGGGTTAAAATCCCAAGCTGGCTCCACAACTCAAAGGACCGGGTGGAGCACTAAATTAGCTACAGGCATTCATTTGGGCTCTGGCAAAGGAGGGCAGACTGGACTGGAACTGTGTGGGAGACTCGGGATTTGGAGGGTGCTGAGAGGTTTTGCTGAGTCGTGCCCTCACAGGATAGTGGCCATCTTACTAGAGAAGGCTTACCACAGCCTGGGAATAAGTGGCACCCCCTCCCTTAAAGATTTAACCCCACCCAGCTGGGCCAGAGAAATGCAAACTGAGCCTCATTAACAACCAGCATCTGCCCCACCCTCTAGAAATCCTCTTACCCTGAACACTTGAGTTTTTCATTCAA